AGAATAAATCAGAAAATCGGTAGTTCTTGACAAAGATTATCCTTGTATGGAGCTCCTCCTTATCAGAGCATACCACGATTTCACAAGTCGGATCCAGGACCATGAGGTCTCGCGACAAGCCCTTAACCTTCAGATCTCCGGAGTCATAACCAAATGGTTTACACTTCCAACCTTAGTCAATTAGTGTTATTGTATAGTCGGAATCAAACGCCACATGATGGGTTACTATCTCACTATCTAAATGATTGAACTCCATTATTCATGGCTTTTCGCTATTTATTGCCCTCTGTACGGTTATCTGTTGATGCGAATTTGTAATAAATAGTACTAAAAATAAAAAAAATGTATAGGCAAATATATTTCAACTGTGTGAATGATAGTCAAGTACTAAAGGATGGTATGGAAGAAAAATGTCAATTCATTACATAAAAAGACAAAAATTGTATGTCAATTATATGCCACGTATAGGTCTATGTACTCGGGCTTTGGGCCAAATTTTAGATGTAGAAGTTCAAATCGAAGTAGGTGAATTAGAGTTTCAACACCAAATGATTTAGACCAAAAATGTTCTCAATAAATAACTTCTGCTAAATCTAACAACTTTTTTACTAAGAGATCTGAACATATACAGTTTGAATCAATGATGAGAAGAATAGTTTTGATGGAATTTATTTCTCCGAGCTGAGTAGTAGTGATGAGATCGATTCACCTATAATGAAAGCCAGAGCGGTTTATGCCAATCTAGGCCACCTTTGGGGCCTTTGTGATGTCGGTCTGGCTGTAAAAGGTTGGATCTACAACGCGTCGGTGAGAGCAGTTTTGCTCAGTGCATGTGAAACCTGGCCTCTCCGAGATGAAGACGTCAGACGACTCTCTGTGTTTGATCACGGTTGCCTCCGAAAGATTGCTGACATCCAGTGGAAACGCCATGTCAGTAATGCAGAGATTCGGTATCGTGTATTCGGACACAGAGACGATAATGCAATTGGTGTCACCATCATGAAACATCAATTTCGGTGGCTTGGACATGTTCTACGAATGTCGTCCCAGAGAATTCCACGTCGTGCATTACTTGCCGAATCTGGGACTGGTTGGAAAAAGCGGAGGTGGTCAGTGTATGACATGGTGTCATGGTATGAAAGAAAGCTGCAAAGGGCTGGCTTCTGTTGGTCCTTCACAATTCCTTGGCTGGAGTCCAAGAGACGGTGCAACACAGTGGCTAGAGACGTTATCAGACATGATTCAGAATAGAAACCAGTGGCGATCTTGCTGTAACCTTCTTTTACTTTCTTCATAAAAAGTGGTTGTAACTTCCTTAACTGGAAGAATTCTGGTTGTACCTTTCCGTTTCTCCCATTATTATTACTATTACTCACTAACATACGCTAAACCGTGGTCGTTATTGTTTTTTCTCATACGCTCCTTATCTTCTTTTTCTCTTCCCATTCTCATTGTTTTGTGTGGCGCATATATATCTAGTGCCCCTTGTAATAATATTTGTGTTCAAATAAGCAATAAATAAAATAAAGAATAGTTTTGATGGAATTTGATTTCTCCGAGCTGAGTAATTTATTTGTGAAGCTTTCATTGTCCTTCTCGACAACATCACCAGCGCAAACCTTAAGTGGAAGGTGATTTATCCATATTTTCCCACATATAATTCAAAGTTTGTACTTTTGATCAGTCAACATCAAGATCAACAAAACAGGTTGTCAGTTATACGTAGCGAAATGTGAATAGCTTACTCCTATCTGAGGTCTGTGTTAATTTTGTCTACGAAGACGACCAAAGCCTCACGATTAAACTCTCCTAAAACCATCAACCAGAGCTACAAACGCTCTTCACCATCTTCAGAAGAAAAGTAATAAGCACTACGAAGTAGTATTTAAAAGTTTAGACAAAACAACAAAAAAACAATGTACTTCTAACGAATGACTCTTAAGGTTTCATAAGAACTATTTTTCAATATCATACAAGATTAAAATAGATTTTCACTTGTTAAAAAGAATCAACTATCATTAAACATTTACATAATAAATACACTTGTCAGTTAATGAACTCTAATGAATCACTTAAACAAAAATGTAGCATTTTTCACATGTGGTTGCTATAGAGTTTTTTGTTTTGTTTTTTTATTGACAGAAAATGTAAAACATGTACTCACTCAATCAAATCATACTTAGATACAAGATTAAGTTGAAATTCATACTATTTTAATCGGTTACAAACCTTGTATACATCTGACATTAATTATATATATATATATCGCTAACGAACTGTGAATTGAGTCTCAATTATATGATTACAGTAGCCTTATCAACTTTTTATTACAGAAATATATGTCATATTTTAAATACAAAGTATCTTAGATACTAATATATATGTGTTTATAATTTGTAATAATCAACAGGTACATGAGAAAACTAATGTGAAAGAAAATAGTTTCTTAAAAAAAACAGTTAAAAATTGAAATGAGTAAATTACTCTATTTTATACCTTTTTTTTATATCGTTTACGTAATCATATGAATTATCAATTAGGTACTGTAAACCGTTTGTAACCATTTATAGAGTAGATTTACTAAATTGTGATTATAAATGTTTATAAAGCATTGATTGTGTATAACTGAATAAAGAAGTGAAATATTATTAAAGTTTTAGTGTGAATATTGTAAATAGATTAAACAAGTTGTGAATATCCATCAACTGAAATGATCGGGGATACATGCTACATATATATTCATCTGCCATGTATCCCAACACATGATTCTGTTTGACATAGAAGAGTGAATTGTAATAAAACTAAAAGGTGACCAAAAAACTAAGATAAACAATCAATCTATGAGGTCATTGACCGGTTGATCAAATCTAATATTGATAGATGCAGATCTACTGGCTAAAGTTAGAGTGATAATCGTGATTCATTTTTGGAAAGATAGGGGACTTAAAATTAATTCTAGTTGCTCAGATACATTTTTATTCCTTATCTAATTTTAATTCTTTAGCCTTGATATTACATCATACTAATTATTCCCTAATTTTATTCATTCTCTTGGAATAACATCTTTTTTGCATTTAGTTCCTTTTATCATAATAAATGTCAGTCAGTCAGTCAGCTACAACGTAGGACCAGGCACATATGTACATCGGTCCAAGTTGCCATACCTCATTAACACAACAAGATGAACACCAGATTCATAAAAGTAGTTAATTCAGTTGTGGTAATATATAAAAGAAAGATTGCATATAAGGATATAGTATAGGAAGAGAGAATTAGTTGGTAGAAGAAAAGATGTGAAGCGATTTTAATTTCATAGTTTAAGGGAAAACTGAGAGTGTATACACCGACGCCATTGTGATCGATTCTGAGCCATGTCACCAAGAGTCTCCAACCATTGGCTACGAAAGTCACGCGGACCCCAACCAAGTAGTCTGCATCTACCAACATGGATTGGACTAGAGGTTAGTGTCTTCAAGCACTGATGCCACGTTTTGGTTTGGCCGCCCCTAACTTTCTCCCAACCATCTCCAACACCGGCTAGCATTTAACTTCGTGGTCATCGGTGTTCAGGCATACGCAACACGTGGCCCAACCATCTCAGTCGATGAAGATTAACAACCTCATCAACTGATTTACCATCATTCCCTAATACCCTGAGTCTAACCTCACTATTATTTACCCGGTGATCCCAGCAAACGCTAGCAATATTTCTAAGGCATCTGTAGTCAAATACTAGTAGCTTACGATTATCTTCTACTCTTAATGGCCATATTTCGCTACCGTAAATTAAAACAGAACAGACTATCATAATAAATATTACTATTTCTATTTGTCTTGTTGAGATGATGTGACAACTTTACTCAATATCAACTCAATCACGCGTTGATCGTCAGTGCTTTCCAAGATACATTAAAGAAGTATTTTACAAAACATTATAGAACGAAATTTTATGTATATGAAGACTTAAATAACCTTTGTAAGCGTCTAGCAGAATATTTACCAAAAAAAATATCACGAACATAATTTCTTTTACAAAAATATGGTCATATGTTGCTCGTAAAGGTTGATAAACATTCAGTTTTAACAGAGATTCAACAACGAACGATTAAAAGTACTGATACCTCACTCATTTAATCACATACTAAATACTGAATAATGTACTACGCTTTGGGGCATACTTGTGTATGTGTGTATATGATAGCTAATGATACTATCAGGCTAACTGTACCGCAGTAGTTGTAACGGTGTCTTAGTGGTTAAGACGTTCGACATTCAGTCATTGTTCCAGGTTCAAATCCTGCCCCACAAATACTAGTTTGAGTAAACGAGCCACTTAGAGCGTGACTCATAACCAAGTACTTGGTGAATGAGTTAATCACAATTATATTTGCAATTATAATAGCTGAAACGGGGTTCAAATTTATGATCTACATGTTGAAAACCAACAGAATCGGTTAAAACAGCGTAGGTCACACTAACTCTTTGTCTTCCATTATATCTTAAGTCTTAAAATTATCTGATACTTGTTATTTCACGAACTTAACAGTTTTTACCAGCACTGATACTGTAATTGTTACAATTATTCTGGCATTTTCTCTTGTTTTGTTGATATGATGTGGCAGCCATGAACCGACTCACGTATGATATACGTCAGGCTCTGCGCTAATTCTGTCTAGCTAATTAAAATCACTACTTTCTAGTACTATTAAGAAGTAATACACATTTGAATAGACATAGATTATCATAACTTAGTAACCTAATCATTCACAATTTAAAGATCCAAGTGAAATGTGTTGAAGTTGAGATAAAGCATTCCAGGCAGAATATCCATACTATTACCAAATTAGTTAGTCTATAGACAGAACTATACGTGTCAAATGAATTGACCCACCAAACATATAACTCTTCCCGCTAGGGGGAAAAATACGGCAACGTAGAGAAAATAATAGAGATATCCTTCACCACTCCCTTTAAATATATGAACAAAAATAAGAACTAACTCTGATTAACTCCATCCAAAGATCCAGTTCGTGTAACAGTCAATGCGCCAATTGGATCGTTTTTAATGGACCGATGAGAGAAGCACTTTAGTAGATTTCTTGTTAAACTACCAGATCTCTTCTTCTTAGTATCTATTCAAACCAATCAAAAATTGTCAAATAAGAGGTGATTTTTAGTAACCAAACTGAACTAAATGTATGGATATACATATGACGAAATATATTGCTGAGAAGAGCTCAGATTATTTAGATTTTAATTAACATAAGACAGAATCTATCTGATAAAAGTGACCGTAATAACATTTCCTGAACTCATATTTTCGCGATGACTTGTAATGTTTTCTAAATGTGTCTTTCGTTCCAAAGACATTTCACACTACTCTACATAAACAGGATTGTTTCATTTCAATCTTAAATTTTTAACTTCTGGAATATCAAGGTTTACCAGTACGGGGAAGTGAAGATGATTGAATTTAATTGAAATCATCAACCAATGAAATTTAGACTAACATTAAAAGCCTGAAAGCACTGGACGACTGTTTCGTCCTAGTATTTGACTCCTCAACATTACTCATCCACGACCCCGTAAACCGGAATCGAGCCCAGACCTGCAGCCTCGAGCGTGAATGATTAGCCATACCACCGAGCCGGCATCCAACGGCGTTAATGTCTAACATCAGTCAATCCATAACATTGTGTGATCATTTTTCATTGCTTTCAGTGACTACATGCTTCACACCCAACACGGATTAGCTTCACTGGTCACGTTCCGAGAATTATCTCTCGAAGCTAGTCAATAGTGAGCCTATATATACTGTCCAGTTCAAATTCGATCCTATTCATATTGGAAGAATATGAGACATCCGTAGTTAGAAATTGCCGCTATTCCATCTCAAGTTATAACAAATACAGAACATATGTAATAATACTGAGCCCCATAAGAAAAACTGTGATAGTGAATGACGAAGCATATCTATAGATCCAGTCAGATCCGACACGTACAAATTTATTATTTCCAGATAATATGATAGACAAAACTTCAATCATTTTCAGCCATAACAACTATCATCACATAACAAGAAGAATCGATCTATCGAAATTCGTTAGCTAAAAACCCACCTGATTGATCAAGTTTCTAGTCCAACATTTCACGACTGCTATAAAATTTGAGTCAAAGAATGATTCTATGGGAAACAAAATGAGTTCACTAACAACTTCATTGTGCAAGATGAACATACATATGATGGTGAATAGTTAGAGGTAGCAAATACGATGTGTAGCAGGATTGTTGTAACATTAAAATTATTGGTAAACGGGCTGGATTCTAAAGTTAATGACACAAGTAACTGTGCCACATACTATTAATATCAATAGTTTCTTAGTGCGTGATAATATCGCAACTGTTATAGCATAAATTCCAACATTATACTACTTACAATTACGTAAAGAACAGTACACAAAACTAAAAGAAACAACTTGTGGAATGAATGTATCGAAGATAACACTTGGCATAACACATAATTTAAATCTGAGCACTTATATTAATGAATTACAGTATTCTAAACACAAGCAAAATCAAACAAAACAATTTAATACATTCGTGAGATTTGAGTGAACCGTCAAGTTGTTGATGTTAAGGGCTGCAATCGATCAGTATTATTCGGCATAATTACATCCCGTACGGACTGTTTCTATAGTCTCTTTCATCATAAGAATTTTAAGCACAGTTGAACAGTGGTTAGCAGTGGAATCTGAGACCAGCGTTCCGTCCCATTTAAGGCTTATCGACTGGATGTAACCGCACTTCAGTGTTGATGTTCACAATGGGACACGTGACCCAGTGACTTTCGCTCCAAATGCCCGACACATTCATAACTGATTGATCAGTGGGTGGTGATCAATGTCATGTGACCATGTTGCAATGTGGCCACCAGTCTAGGTGGCTCGACACTGCGTGCACTATTGTGAGATTAGTGCACTGACTGTGAAGCTGGGTGACACGAGATCGAATCCGTCAGGGAGCACCAGTTCCCTCAAGATTACAGGTAAACCTTGCTGAGTTCCAAGTAGCACGAAACCTGGGTTCAGGGTTTCCTGTCGACTACCTCCAACCACCACCTAAGCCCGACGCATTAGCAGGTTAACCACTGAGTTCACTAGCTTTTAAAACAGAATATGTTTAATTCATTTGCAAAGAGTGTTTGATTGTTTTCAACGTCGGTCTTAAAATTTAGAATTCAAAAAGGTTTTCTGACAGTCTTATCAAACAAATTGACAATTTAAATATGAACTAATTCCCGCCATTTGTGACTAGCAGTTTACATGTACACATTAATGTGTATATATTGGTAAAAGAGAAGAGGGCTAGCGTTCACAGCTCCAAACTCATTGTAAAATGACTGAAATTAGAAGGACAGCATACTTTCAAAAGTGCAAATGCTCACCATTTGCATAACAATGAACATGATGTTGACGTTTCTAAATCTTTCAAGATAATCAATAAACAGAGAACTTTAAACCTCCTAAGTTTAGCTGAAACTAATCCTATAAAAAGATTTGCACCTTAAGTTTGTGATGCTGATATCGCTCAGAAGAACGATGAAAGTCCCACGACCAAACCCCATCAAAATCATCCACCTGAGCTACAAACCTTCTCCACCATCTCATTTACACCAAATTTCTGCAGACAAAAGGACACAGCTATCAATCTGGCTTTACCATTATGACTTTAACTTTCAGAGTTTGTTAGGTGACATTTTTCTCACGAACCCACTTAGTTTTTTATTTCTAGATTTTGACTTGAGCTTTACTCAGTCATATCTTTAAGTGTTACATAACACTGTCCCCAAATGCCCTGGTACGGCCGAGAGTGGGAAGAGTCCGCCCACCCCCTCCAAATGCTCTCACATGGCCACGCGTATATAGCCTCTGCCAAGGAAGTCCTACTCACTGCCTTCTCGTGGCTAGGGTGTCGTTTACAAAATTGAGAATACGAAAATCGAATGTCCGGCGCTTTAACCAGGTTGGTGGACATAGAGAGTCCACCTAGGGGAGTTGGAAAACCCTGATTCCAAACCAATTTTCCACATGGGCTCCAGTATCCTAAGGGAACAAATGACGTACGAACCAATCGTTGGTTACCGCCTACCAAGGGACTGCATCTCCTTACGATGCTCCATTGCCTTGTGGATCAGACCTTTAGGTCGAAGGCTCCGGGTGTGGCCTCCTAAGAAGACCACCTGCTTCGGTTTGGGCACCCGAATAGTATCACAGCCCTCAAACAAATCTAATGAGATTTGTATGGCGCATATGTATCTGGTGCCCCCTTGTATCAATATCAGTGTTCAAATAATAAATAAAATAAATACATAACACTATATGACATTATTCTTCCACCTGTGAAAACCTTGTTTCCATGCTCTTCTTGGTGTTCCCTTACAAAATATATACGGATTTTACACGCGAATAAATAAGACAGGTTCTGAATTATCCCGTTATTTACATTCTTGACTAAATCTTAACCAGTCTTTGTTGGTATATGTAGATTATTTCGATATAGACATTTTGTCACAATTATTAAAGAACTAAATATTAACAACGAAATAATTTGAACTCTTTCCAATTACGATATAAACATTATACCCGTTACGCAAATTAGTGGACATCTGGACTCAGTATCTTAGTTGATTCTTTGAAGCAAAAGATACGGAGTCCGAGTCACGATATGAATACCGACACTGAGATGCAAGTATACCAAGTTGACAAGTCTCAAATGAGACGGGACGCGAGTTGTGGATCCCACTGCTAGCTACAATCCATCCATTATGAACAACTATTTTAATCCACCGACAGCCATTGTATTTTATTAATCTATATCTACATGTCACATTTAACCTGAATCAAAACTTTTCTGATATGAAGTATGCACAGTTGTTTTGGTTGTTAAATGATTAATATCACTGTTTCTTTGTTGAAAGCAGTTGAAGGGAATCAACAAAATAAATGAGTTCATATTATTATGATGGTTCGGCTACGATTGTTTTTCTTACGTATAAAGGGAAGGTATCCATCCAATTAGGTGTGAGCAAAAGAGTGAGTTAAAAACGACCAAAGGATATCTAACAAAATCTTATTTTGTTGGGAATCCAACACATACAAACATACCTTTAAAGTGATTAACCCCCAGCTGTTCGAAATAAACGTATGAAATAAAATGACTGGGGTAACAAGAATAAAAAATTATCACCGAACTTGAAAAATTAGTGTTTGTTGACATTAGACTCTCCATTAGACGTTGAGAAAACTACACTTTCGATTAGCCGTAGAATAAAAAACCAATACGTTTCACGTCCACAAAAGTTTTATTTCGCATTTCACTATTCACTTTTATTTTTAAAAAATGTACCACTTTTATGGTCACCGTTTTGTTCGTGCTCTTATTAGTGAGAACCTAGAGGGAAAACTAGAGGTATAGAATCAACTAACTTATTGAATTAACATCACCATCATTGTTATTATTATTTCATACAACTTACCAGTACCAGTTGAATTAGATACAATAGGCATATCCATAGGTGTATTATTTCTTATATTCATATCAAGAGAATTATTTCTTAACGTTTCACTGCTATTCGAACTGATACCAGCATCCACAGATATATTATTATTATAAGTAGTAGTTGTAGCACAATTATTGTTATTATTTGTAGTAAAATCATTGTTACCAATATCCCAGGGGGATTGATTTATTATTCCTGAATTCGAAACACATGATGATGTGTTACTGTCTTTGGTGTTGTTAATACTAGTAGTATGCGGATAAGATGTTGAACCAATCACAGTGACTTTACCAACAAAATTCACACGTTTTAATCGTGTTCTCTGACGTCTTTCGATACGTTGACAACTAGGAACTATTCCAAGTCCGGTAGTAGATGAAAGTAATGTAGATGTTTGTGTATTACTATTAATAGTATTATTATTAGTATTATCTGTTGTTGAATGCATCGAATTTACATGAGCAGCATTTTCAAAATCGGATACTAAAGAAATTCGTTTAGCTTGCCACCATTCACGATCACTAGCATTAACAACGTGTAAAATATCCCCATGTTGAAACGGTAAACCCTGTTTATTTTTTCAAAACACAAGCAACAAGAAATGTAAGCGAATGTAAATCACAGAGTTATAATAAGAAAACAATAGTTTAAGAGCATATATGTGGAAAGGATGAAAGACCAGATCATTATAGCACTGTAGTAGTAGGAATCCCTCTACAGGTGTATTTCAACATCTTTAAGGTACACTAATTCAATGTACCTGTATCAGTATTTGTCAGCTTTCCAGTCGAGAACGTAAACCAATACCCCCTGTACAGAAAGAGTACTAAACCATGATAGCTACCTAGAGTATAGTGATTATCGGTTCTAATATTATCAATCAGCTTACTGAATTGATCCGGTACCTGATTTGTTTCTCAGCGGATGTTCTCAAAGAACTGATGTCAGGTACACGAAAAAGTGACAGTTTAGAAAATAACTTGATGGAAATTTTTTTAAACACTTACTGCACTGATTTATACAAACAACGTAAATACAAATGATGTATTACTACAGTTGAAGCAGATATTAATTCAGGAGGTTTGCTGATAGTCAACAGTATACCAAGATTAGAAAAGTGGTTTGTTTTACTGCTGAACATTTCCCACACTAACAAATCTATAATCTGAACATATCAAGAAAAAGTTTGATTGTGAATAGGATGTGCTCTAATGCTTATAGACATCATGTGGGCGGTTTTCAATTCCTGATCATAGAGGAATACTATTTTCTTGAGAGATCTGACAGAACAAAAGTGATCATTGACTAATCGAAATAAAATATTAACTCCATATTTAAATGTCTGAGTCAGGATGACAAACGTGAATAAACTAATGATTTGTGTACCTAATTATTCAGTCTTGCCAATTACAGCTTCCTACTTATTCATTCGTTCACTCACCCGATAGCTGGTTCGAAAAGTGTACAGGGAGTGTGTATCTGAAATAGAAGTCGCAAATGGTAACAGACACTTCCATTCCACATAGTCGGATATGGGGATTTTAAAAAATTTAATAACTTAAAAAAACCTCCAGTTCAATGTACCACTATAAGCTTGTTTATCAATATATTACTTAACAACCAGACAGTAGTTCAAACTTTAGAATTTGTTTCATAGGTGAAATTCACAAAAACAAAAACTGAAGTTAACATTCTGTATGCTTTTGGAATCCAATTTCTACTTACATTCATTGCACAATATATATATATAATACTTTCCAATATATAAAAGTGCATATACATTATCGACGCACCCTAAATTCTCAATATTGTACATTATAAGAATCCGGTAACACAATTATAGATTAGACAATGATTCGTGGTTTAAGTCAGGATTAGATTTCAATGTTACATATTTGTCCGCGTGTAACTTATACTATGTTCCAAACCAACAATACGGTATACATACAATACTTCAAAAATAAATGTATATAGAAATAGCTACACATACCGATCCTAATTATATTCATTCACTAATTGGACTATATAACAATGTAAAAAAAATTTTGAAAGTTTGGTTATGTATTGTGAGATCCAGCTAATTACCGTAAGTCAGGATTAATTAGAAGCTATAAAAGTTACATATATCAAATGATTTTATTGAGTGATAGCTTTTCGCGATAAAATTACTCGATTTACAACCGTTATAAAATCAGAGATTCGATCATCACATAATATTCTTTGGCAGGATTCAGGCAATCGGGGTAACATTATGATGTATGCTACTTATGTCTGTCGACATAAGTAGTATGTGACACTAACCGGCAGTGGAAAACCTGGCAACAGAAAGCTAAGAAGATCGAGTTGAAGAAAATAAAGAGGGATTATGAACCAGAAGAATCAAACAGAATGTGAAGGACAAATGATGGGAATTCGCAAAGTGTTCAGTGTATGATTCTCATATTTTACCAAAATAATCTGTAATTTTGCGTTCAAACACAATCGGTTGTTCTCATCTGTTTTCTTGTTCACCTCAACACTGCTAACTTTCACACACAACAAAAGTACGATTTAAAACCAAGTACATAAACCGGTAATTAACAAATAACTTAACAAACGGCTTAAGTGTAAATTATACTTGAATAGTCTCTACATTATACAACAAAAATTTATTTAAGCTAATCGTTTTGTACAAGTTGAAGTTAGTTTCGTTACCGACTGGCATAAAAGGAAAGATTATTGAAAACCACTGGAAGACTGAAAAGATACTATACCCAAGTTTATAGGTCCTCAGGAGCTGACGTTCACAACCTTATACTGAAGCAAGACTGTAAATTCACTGCTGAGGGACGACGTCAGATGTGTACCATAGATATCGTATTTGTCACTAGACTCGAGATTTCTAATGTTGATCCCTATGTGATCGTGTGTGGGATATACTAAACATTATAGCAAAAGTCGATTTGCCAAATATTTCATGATAATAACAGTAATAATAATAATAATAATAATAATAATAATAATAATAATAATAATAATAATAATAATAATAATAATAATAATAGTGGATATATAAACCAGACATTTTTTGCAATATATATATATATATATATATATATATATATATATTTGTTAACTTCCTTTAATATTCCGTTTTTCTTTGGTACGCTATCAAAATAAAACAATTTAAGACGCACTAATTTCCTAATTATATATATATTGAAGTTTTGTTCTCTCTGAGCTGGATAGTTTGGCCGTGGAGCATTCATCGTTCTTCTGAACGACATCATCAGCACAAACTTCAGGTAGAAGAGAATTGTTCGAGGTTCGAGGTTACATATGGAGCGACCGCTTAGTGTTTAGAGCCTTGGGTCCAACGGACCTGAAACGTTTTGATAATATGTTATAGGCCCTTAATAGACTATCAGCTAAGGATTACATGTGCTCCCCGAATTCAATACTTACCATAATTTCTACCACAGTATTAAACGTAAATGAAAACTAGTGTTTGACCAACTATCAATATTGTCGTCCCCACATTAAAATCCTTTTGGATTGAAGACAGTTATGTACTATAGACCAAAAACAGTTGAAGATTCAATATATATATATATATATATATATATATATATATATATATATATATATATATATATATATATATATATCTTCTTCAAATGTACAGCTAAAATTCCGTTTGTTTGTTTTAAGCCAAGAAAACAAGTATTTTGCACATCTAGCATCATTAATAATACAACACATTTATTGAGGACATGTCTCTCTTAGCCATGAGCTACACTGTTCTTATGAGATTCCATAATACTACCTGGTTAGACTGTAGCCGCTGCCTTGATATGATGACCAAGCTTTCACATTTCAGTGATCTGATGAAGATATATTCGCTAGATCACTCATTGCTTTAGATGTTACCATGCTCAAAAAATGACTGGGGAACGGTAAGACCAAAAGCAGAAAAATTAAAGTTCGACAGAAAAGTCTCACTGACAACTGGATACGGATGTAAAGGCAGTAAAGTGATTCCCGCAAGCAACCAGGATCTACAGTGATCCTTTATTTATTTAAACACAAACATTAGTATAAGGGGGCACCAAAATATATATGCGGCACACAAATCAGTTACCGTTCAAGTTGTGTGTGAGCTGGGATACTATCCGGGTGCCTAAGCGGAAATAGGTGGCTTTCTTAGGGGTCCACACCCCGAGCCTTTGGACCCAGAGGTCTAGTCCACAAGGCAGTGGAGCAACGTTAAGAGATACAATCTCATGATAACCGGTTACCAAGATTAGGTTCACACACCATTTGTTCCTTAAGGATCCTGGAGTCAAGGTTTTCCAACCCCCTATGTGGATTCTCTGTACTCACTAACTATTCGCCCTTTCAATTTTGTGAATAATACCTCGGCCGCCAGAAGGTAGTGTGTAGAACTTCTCTGGCAGTGGCTCTATATGCGTTGCCATAAGATAGTGTTTTGATAAGAGGAAAGTATTCTTGCCACTTTTGGTCGTAATAGGCCACTTGGGGGCTGCAGCGGTCCTGACTTGCTACAACGGAAGGAGGTCTTAGAACAGATCGATCCCAAAAGGTGGTACATTTCGCCTTGTCCCACAGAAGTAGGTGGTAATATGACAACTTCTGGTTTCAATTTTGACCATCATCTCTCAACGACTGACTATTAGCCTACATAAGCTAAAGAGGAAATAACTATATTTCATGGCACAATCCTAGAGTAATATATGTATCACACTATATCCTATATCACTCCACTGGATAAACTTCATGCTAGGATACAATATTCCAATCAAACACATATCATAAAGGGCAATTTTACATCAAACAGTATCAAAGTTCTATAAATTCTACATTCTATGGTTAGATAAAACAGAATATCCTACTCTGGTTATGTGATAATTTATTTCCCACAGACTGAACAACACAACTCAGGCATATGAACATTACACTGTTAATCTTACCTTCATAATATTTGAAGGCATAATTAGTATACTTGAAGACTACCACAAAATAACTAAAACACCTCACTAATCTCTTTAAAGTATTTTCTACGTTCTTGATAAATAAATGCATGGTGAAGTTTTGTTTTCTATTGCTTTTTTTACACTTCTTGAAAATTATACTAGTAAACCAAGACGAAATAATGGAAACTAATCACCTCATTTATGCCACAGCAGAGGCACATTTAAATACCCAGTTTAATAAACCGGCGACAACCCATGCAAAAGAGGAAACCAGAAATAATAAAGTAATTATAGTAATAATATCTGCAAAAACTGTTTTATTATTAATAATGAGAAAAGAAACACTTATTATTCTCATTATATTATCTTTTAAAGACAGAGAGAAAATAAAATAAGGAAATGAAAAGTTTTCTTTTGTAGAAACCATGTGATTTTACAGCAGAAAATAGAAATGTAGTTTATACATGAAAAGAGAGGTGATAAACAAACAAAACATATGACATTTCCATCAGTGATAATATTAAGCAGAAGAAGGAGAATAATTAAGCGAATGCTTGAAGGATATCCACATAACTCTTGTATGTATTTTTTTTGC